GCTGCCCCGACCGACGAGCGGTCTTTGTGATCGACAATCTTCTCGACTATCCAGCGGATCTCGCCAGCTGAGTCGACAATCGGCGGGGGACCGTCCCGCTGATACGACTGACGTTCTGGTTGGGAGCCGCGAGGAAAGATCTCGCGGGGAGCTTTCTGGATGGCGTATCAGGAGGCGGAGGAGGCCCAGGACGCGGCTGCAATGGCCCGTGAGGACTGCGACTGAGACTCGTCAGTCGAATCGGGAACTCTTGGCGCGCGTGAGGCTTCTTGAGCGCGCGGTACATGGTAGTCTGCAGAGCGGAACGGTGGAGCAGGCGCCTGGTGTGAATGGCGCGATGGCTCGGCGCGCGCGTCGGGCGGGACGGCCGCTATATGCGCCGGCGGCTCAGGAGACTGAGTCGAAGAAGGAATCGTAGCGGGCAGGTATTGCTTGAGTCGTCCGACGTAGAACGTCGGATGTAGTCGCAGCGACGTGGGGATATCCAGTGTGTAAGCCTCGCCAATAACCTTAGTCACCGTAAATGGCCCAATAAAGCGCGGTGCGAGTTTACTCGCGCCGAGGTTGGTGACGGCAGAGTCTCTGATTCCTGAAGTCGACAGGAGCACTCGATCTCCTGTCGCGAACTTTACTGTGTGTTTGCGGCCGCGCTTGTCCGCGTTTTCCTACTGCTTGTCGACCGCCGTCTGCAGCGCGTCGCGGACGTATCGGGCGACTGCTTGACGCTGGAGGAGGAAGTCTGAGACAGCGGTGTTATCAGCCGGATGTGCCGGTTGCTTTGGCGCGTAGTTCGCTGATGGAGACACCGCGTTAGCGGTGCCAGGACTGATCAGGGCACGATTCGTCCACGAGGCGAGAGGGGACACTGCGTCGCGGGGAGTCGTCAGGGCCTTCCTGGCCTGGGCGTGTGCCACTGCGTTAACAGTCGCTGAAGATGAGGCTGCACTCGAGGAGGAGTCGGCAACCGGTATGGAAACCGGTTGAGGGTCTATTACCGGTGTTGGCGCAGAAGGCTTGTCGGCAACCGGTATGGTAACCGGTTGTGGGTTCGAAACCGGAGTCGTCACAAAGTGGTCGTCGCCTCTTTCACCCCCACCCAGAGTGGAGCCACACGGCGCCGTGGGACGGCCCACGGCGAGGGGAGCTGGAACGCGAGGGTGCCGAGCGTTGTTGACGAAGAAAGAAGTCCGGCCAGTCGACGCGTGAACCGCGTTGTTCAGCGCGAACTCAGCAAGCGAGAGGAACGAGCTCCAGCTCGTGAACGACGTCGCATAGCTGCGAAGTACGTCCTCAAGGACGCGATTAACTCGCTCGGTTTGGCCATCCGTCTCCGGATGAGCGGCCGTCGACATCAGCAGCTTTGTCCCTGATAGCTCGAAGAGCTTCGTCCAGAAAGCAGACGTGAACCGCGGATCGCGGTCCGAAACAATAGATTCGGGCATGCCATGATGACGGAAGACTGCATCCACGAAGTGCACCGCGGTATCGGCCGCGGTGATCGTATCCGGGACTTGGATGAGGTGAACCATCTTGTTGAACCAGTCGACGAATACCAGGACACCGGAGCGCCCGGCGGAGTTGGGTGGGAGGCCAAAGACGAAGTCCATCGACACCGAGCGCCATGCCTCGGTGGCCACTGGTAAGGGACGCAGGGGAGCCTGCGATGACGCGGACGGTTTCACGCGTTGGCAGATCTCGCAGGTCCTCACCCACTTGCGCACCCACTTATACATGTGGGGCCAGTAAAAGTCGCGCGACACTGCGGCGAATGTCTTCTCACGGCCCAAGTGAGCGCCAAGGGGGATATCGTGGAACTCGTGGATGATCCGCGAGCGCAAGTCAGGATCGTTGGGAACCACTACACGCGAAGCATCGAAGCGATCGATGCTGTACGTTAGCAGCCCGTCTTCAATCCGATACCTATCGATCTGATGGCGTGTGGAGCGGGACAAAGCACTCAGTGTCTTTTCACTGGGCGAGCGGAGATGTTCAAGAATACTCGAATAGACCGGATCGAATTCATACGCAGTCCGGATTTCGTCGCGGAGTGGGGTTTCTGAAGACACGCTCGTCAGGTTCAATCCCGACGCCAAGCACATAGCACAGTTGTCTTCGTCGTCTTCATCATGCAGCGGTTGTCGACCCAGCGAATCGCGTGGGTCGTAATCTGGACGACGAGACAGAGCATCTGCAAGGATGTTGCTCTTGCCGGGTTTGTAGTGAACCACGAAATTATACTCGGAGAATAACGACAACCAGCGAGCCATTCGCTGGGAAAGATGAGGGCTCTTCATCGCTGTCCTTAGCGATGCGTGATCGGTATACACTGCGAAGGTTTGCTCGCCGAGTAAGTACACTCTGAATTTAATCAGAGCGTAGCGCATCGCGAGAAGCTCCTTGTCGTGGACAGGATAG